AAATTGAAATATGTTTTATGTTTTAATAACAACTTATTCATTTTTGTTTTTGGCAAACTCTGCTTAAATTAGGGAACTGATCTAAAAATTCAGAGAAATTATTTATGCAAAATAGGACCAGCTAAGCTGTAAAAATAGTAAAATCAATGTTTTTCTAAACCAAGCAGTAACTGTAAGTAATAAATTGGATAACTAACTTTAAATTTTTTTTACTTTAATATTTATAGGTGAGTAAAAAAATAATTCAAATTATCAGAAAATAAAATAATTTTGTCCAATCAAAATGACTGGTACAAGGAGACTTGTGATGTTAGCCAAAACTGAACGTCATGCCAGTAAATTTGAATCTCCATCAAAAAGGATGTAAACTGACAAACCCCAGCACACTGAAATGAGTGACAACTTGAGGCATGAAACCAGTCATATGTGACACATTAAGAAGTAGTTAAGAGGTCATTTGTTAATCATAATTCTTCCCTGTTTGCGGCCGAGAAAAACACAGTAGATTGACACTGATCTATTTCTAAGATGACTACTACAACTATATTTTCAATAGACTGCTACTAATAATCCACCTTATTAACATTTTGCTACACCAAATATCAAAAGGAACCATTCATCACTTTAAAACAAATAAATAAAAATATATATTATATATCTTATACACCCTTGTTCTAGTTCATTTTATTTCTGCAGTTCCAATAAAAGAACCCATCTTACAACAACTAACTACAGATTTATTCTAACTCAACGAGGAAAATCATTGCTATAAATTTACCAAATGATAATTTATAAACATTAATATGGAAAACAATGAAGAATTCAAATAAATGAGTATACAATATAAAAAAGCTGAATTTTTTTAAGTGAAACTAAAAGATATATATTTAGTTAAAATTCAATTTTACAATAAGGTAAGAAACAAAACATGTAATCTGACACTAAGTAAATACTAAATGAATTTAATCTGACACTAAGTAGTAAACAAATTTGACTGAATATCTTGGATGAAGACTTAACATTATTTACATGCAGACTGTAGTGAACGAGATAATCAAGTACCCCAGAAAAAAGTTTGTGTTTTGCGTGCGATCTGCCGGGGAGGGATTGCCAAAAAGTCGTCAGCAAAACTCTTATAGCGACTTACCTCGTCAACCCAAGCGACAGCGCGTCGAGTGTATTCTGTGAAGAAAAAGAAACAAGTCCGTCGCAGGAGTCGCTATAAGAGTATATTAATAAGCAAATTACGGAGCATCCTATCCCGGCTGTCGACTAATGGAAAAAATAGTTTCTGCTGATAAAAGCAGTTGGTGTTGTCGACTCGGGGGAAAAAGAAAATTCAGGCAGTTTTGGCTACGGCGTTCGTGAGTTATTTTCCTGACGCATTACAAGTGATTTTCTTTCTTTGTGTTGTGAAAGCCACAAATTTGCTTTGAGAACGCTTACTCTTCACAGACTAATATCCTTATCTTTGTTGATATGATCACATTTCTACCATTGTGCCCTCCAGCCTTCATCAGGTGCTTGTCAATTGAGGTAACCTTCTGGGAGCTTTGAATTGATCATTTCTTGTTCTATAAATGCCTACAGATATCTCATCTAATTCTTATTTAGTTCTGCTTAGTTATTGTCCGTCTTGTTTCCATTAAGTTCAAATACACATTGTGCAATCCAGGAATTGAACTCACAATGATTAACAAGTATCAACACCACTCATCAGCAGCCAAGTTAGGTTAAGGGCTCCAAGTTCTCCACACAGGAATGTCCCATCAGATAATAGCTTAGTGCATTAAAGCATTGGTTTATAAATTTGGTAATATAATGACTGTGAGTTCAATCCCCAGACTAGACAGTATGTAATTGGATTCAGTTTAAATGGAGCTGTGGCGGACATGAGACAGAACTGGGACGAGCACAACCGGTCGCGACTTGCCTTGTCCCCGTCAAAAAAGAGCCCGTATTTGCTTAGCATGTAAAGCTACTGCAGTTGAAATGAGGGAGAGAAAAAAAGCACTTACCGCTCTGCTGTAATCCATCCTCGGCCAGATAACGTAAAAGAATGAGTGGGGACTGGCATTGCATTTTTATGCAATAACGATGCAATGCATTATGGGACATGGACGCAATGAATTATGGGATCACATGAAGACGCAAGGGATTATGGATATATGAACAACTATAAAAGCAACTACTTTTTTCTGAGTCGGGGAGTTCTTCAAGGGACGTTCACAGTTGATGACGAGAACGGCCAGTTAGTGTGATTTTGAGACAGAACTCAAGAAGGAACGACTCAAGGTTGAAATACCAGCTGGGAGAGCTTGAATTTACTCGCTGGTTACTGTTTTCTTTATTCGCCTCAGGAGCAAGCAGAACTGAGCAGTACTAAATAAGAACAAGATGAGGGCAGCAGAATGAGAACAATCTACCACCATAGATTAAATAAAGTGTTCAGTTTGAAGTTACCTGAATATTACCTGGATTGATAAGAACCTAATGAAAAATGTTGTTATCAAAAAAAGAAATAAGAACAAATATTCTGCATGGAAATCAATGAAAACAGAAAAAATCCTATGAAAATTGAAAATGTAAACATAAGAATTTGATTGAAGAATCAGTTACTGCCTCTCAGATATTTTGGAAGAATGGATAAAAAGAATCACTTAATGAAGCTGAATATTATATATTTTTGCCTCTTGCAAAGATTAATTCCAAGAGAAAGCTTTTTTTTTTTTTTTTTTTACTTCTCTTTTGTTGACTTTTAGTCACATTTCTAGTTCTTGTATCAAAAATATGAAAATTTACACACGTTATATTCATTGCCTCTGCTTATTTGATTAAGCTCAAACTTTTGCTATTTTGGAGTCATACTCATCTAATTTGGTCATAGACAACATTCCTTCTTTTATGCACCTGTGTTCTTTCAGAATATGGTTGATCAATGGTTCTACACAGCTTCTTATCTGTTGCTATAAGCAATGTTTGTCTTTTTATCCCTCCAACCTCATTATGCATCTACTAGAATTGTTCTAGACAAATCGTATTGCTTATCAGTAAGCTTTAATATACTCGGTGAGTTCCCAACAATGTGGGATATGGCACAAGGCCATTTTTTTTTTTTTAATGTGGGCCCTTCCAAGCATATACATTCAAGCAAAAATTATCAGTGGACCCTGCATACACAGGGTCAGGTGGCTGTCTACTTTTCCCCAGACAAAAGTCTGCTGTGGGTATAGCTTCATCTGAGCTTCTCTCCATCTGGGGGAGATAGATCATACCACAATGCAGGTTATTTGCCATTTCCTTCTACTACTCTTGCTTTCATTGCATCATGTGAGTGTCAAATTCTCCAAGCCCTCTTTCCTTATAGAAAATATAAACATCAGGTCAAACAATAGCATAATCTGACTCTTATGAAATAATTCTAGACAATCTGAAATATTTATCAATATTTCCTGGTCATACAGTTTTGAACACAATATAATGAAAATCTAAGCTAAAAGAAATTCGATTGGAAAATGAATTCTGTTCAAAGAATCCAAAATAACAATTAGCAAAGCAAAAGAGATGGACAGCTTACCAAAATATCTTATGAAAAATATCTGATTTTATGGTCAATTAGATTGTTTCAAAGATAATGTGAATTAATGAATACAGGTCAGTATGTACGCATCATGATACAATGATCAACTGTGACATTGAAACAATACGGCATCATAGGAATCATAGGGCTTAAATAAAAACAATTAAGATATGTAGGGATTTGGGAATCAAAATCATCAGAAATTCAGGGTCAGACAAACAGTAAGCAAAATGGAACAAATAGATTATTCTATCCTGATATCAAATGTGATTGCTTAAGGGAGCAATCACTTATCACACAGGCAAAATGTGCCGATGACAAGTGAAAGGAATGGACAATTCAAAATCAGAGTTAATACAAGAGATTAAATATAAACATGAAAATTGCAGAAGTAAATGTCAAAATGATTACAAAAGAGACAATAGATATTGAATATTGATTTCCCAGAAATATCAGGATCAGAACCAGTTCAAAAATACCTGATTCAGCAGCAAGCTCAATATGGTCACAAAAGTAATAAATAGATAAGAATCCCCCACCCCACTGAAAATGCATAAGAAATTTCTTATATGAACCTTTCCAACTTCAGCCAAAATAGTATACATATGATAGAGGGATTTATGATACATAGAGGGACACGTGATAGAGGGATGTATGATACATAGAGGGACACGTGATAGGCAGATGTATATTCAATAAAGAATTCAAAAAACAAAACTAGTAGCACCACAATTGAAAAAAAAAGGAATTTCTCTTGAAAATATGCCAATCTTACATATTTAAGTGGTATATAAAGCAAGATTTATCAATATGAATAAATCTTGACATTGCCTAAAGGAACCTCCGATATCCATATCCAGAACAATTTATAATAGGAAACGTCCAACCTTATCTTAAGAAAGATCACAGAATGTCTAACCAAAAATAATAAATTCAACAATGTTGCAGATATTAAATGTGAACAACTCATCTCAGAATTTCATATAGAAATATAATAGTACATTATTATTATCTATGTAAACTAGTTGCAAAACACTAATTGCATAAAGGCAATTTGGAAATCAATTTTAAACCAATAGAAAGATTAAAGTTACTTAATTCAAATATTATTCAGTTAACTCTAAATAAAAAGTAACATTTTTCTGTAAGTCATTTTTGTATTTTTATAAATATTGGATTCATCATTTTTCTTGTCATGTTAAGCTTATCTAAAAATATTATTTTTTGGAAAAGATAAAAAATAGAAAAAGGTACAATTCAAATGAAAAAATAAAAAATGATTGAAAAAGAAAAGAGTTCAGAAAAAGATAATGGGAAAAAAACGAAATGATTAAGAAAAAAAGAAAAGAAAAAAAGATGGTTAAAAATTGAAACATTGGAAAATGGAAGAAAAGAATATGGTAGGAAAAACAAAACTCACAGTTTCATATTCATCCTCATTTTTTAAATGCTGTGTGATAAACTTGACGGCTTCTGAAGCTCGAATGATGTGTGGTGACACAGTGAAGTGGTCAGCCCCATCAGGCTCCCGTCTCAGATACTCCGTGGAGGTGGACTTAGGGTTGAGCTTACAATTTGGATGGTGGATTTCATGAAGCTCCAGTAAGTCCGCCCGCCTCGCGGCAGCTGAATAATGACGAGGTTGTTCAGGATTTGCCACTTCTTCCACTTGGGGTGGGGTCTTGGACTTCTTCTGCCAGCGTTCATCATGGTCTGGCCTTTCCATAAACAAAAATTTTGGAAGATAGTAAAGAAAGACTACGCGTACCCAGTTTGGCATTTTGTGCGTGCGTGGTGTTCTATAATTCCTATTAATGATAATAACTGTCAAGACAATGGCAAAGATGTTCATAATGAAGGTGAATAAAAGATACTTAGCTATAAGGGGTATCGTCAACGATGGGGGTAATATTTTTGAAACCAGCAGTAAAAACACTACCAACGCCAGTAAAATAGAGATGCAGAGTGTCATCTTTTCTCCAGCATCTGCAGGGAGAGCAAACACACATACGCTGACAAATGAGATTAGGACACATGGGATTATCAAGTTGACAGTATAAAACAGAGTTTTTCTTCGCAGGATTAAGGTAAAGATGACCAATGTTTTCTTGACACCAGTTTCTTTTTCAATCGTGGTCCTTACTTCCCCTGGACAATCGATTATATCCCATGTACCACTCTTGAGGTAATCTGTAAAATCCAGTTTGTCACCTTGTTGCCAGATGAATGTCAGCTGATCACCACTAAATGTCCATGAGCCAAATTTCATCTCACAGTTTTGCTGGTCAAAGGGGAAGTATTCTACGTCAATAGTGCAAGAGCTTTGGTAAATGGCTGGAGGAATCCATGTAATGTTACTGCCAAAGTCAATGACTGCATTTGGTTTGTATGATACTTCATAATTGCCATCAGCACTGGAAACAGAAAGAATTCAAGACAATTAAAGTCAACCAAACACTAGCATTTCAGGAATATATATCTGTAGAATAAATATTTCAAATTTAGTGTCAGATTTTAACTTACAATATTAAGAACATAAAGAGACCTGATTTACCCAGCTGTACTGAAGAACTTTCTCAAGCAGAATTTCAGTGCCAGTTTTGCAGGATGTCACTTAAAGGTTTTACCAAGACATAATTCCATTGGTTTCTGTCATTTTTTTTTCTGATTAGCTCATGATTTTTTAGTTTTTCAAAAATCTGATAATGTCTAAAGAGGAAAGCAATAATAAATAAGGATGTAAAACCTCAGGAATGTAGAAATTTCAACTGAGCAGAAGGTAGAAAACAAATAAAGGAATTTGCATTTGAAACATTTCTCTAATTTTTTCAGTTTAGATCTATGAGGAATGGAAACTTGCATGAATTTACAAGATTTATTTTGAGAAATATTAGCCAAATCATTGGGACCAAGAAATACAGCCTCTGTTGGAATTAATGCTAAGAAAAATATTATAGGAGTTTAGAAGGACTTCCTTATTTATATTTTTCAATCTACAGAATATTGTCATGATGTAACATTGAAGATAAAAATTTAACAACAGCAACAACTCATAAAAGAACAACAAAGTAAACAAAATCTACCCATTGATCTGAGGCAATCAAAAGTAAGATTCATGAAAATTCATTATTTTTAAGCATTGAAGTATTGTGAAGCTTATCTTTTAAAATGATTTCTACATCATAAATATTGAATTACCTGCCTCATGTTTTAATTATTTTTTTGTTTAACTAATCTCATATTCTGAGCCCTTAGGATGTAATTCAGTGTTTATTATTAACAGTAATCGGAAATAAATCAGCTATGAAAGTGAAAATGCTATTCAGTAAGATTTATTTGCATCTAACAAGAGATAAGAATGTTGAAAGAAAAAGTTTCCAGAAATCAAAACCAGAATATTTTTTTCTTGTAGTTTATAGCAGAAAATAAATTCCCATCTAAATTGAAATTTATCCGCAGTTTTACTCAGGGATTTTAAATGAAATCATAGAAAATTCTATTGATTTACTGATTCTATTTTAATATTTTTAATGCATAACTTTACAAAACCAAAAGGCTCATATATGAGTTTTAAATTTTACATTGGACTTAAGGGCAGGCATAAAAATGCTTAAAAGACTAAACTTTAATACCCAAACTTTAAACACGTGCACACACACAGTGAAAGAAAGACATTTGTTGATTGGTTGCAAATGACACTGTTTTTAATTTTGGATTTCCTTTGGTCCAAAAAGTTTGATTATAAATTTTTGTCTGAAACAAGAACAGCTTGACTGGAGAAGTGCAAGAATTTGAAGATCATTATTGTAGAAAATCAAGATTATATAATATAATAAAACATATTTCAAAGTATCACAGCATCATCAAGAGAATAAAACCATTTTCATTTCAACATTCTTCTAATATAAGTTTGATAATATTATTAATAACAATTACTAATAATACTAATATTACTAAAAATATGATATAATATTAGTAGATATCTAAAAATATGATATTAGTAGATATCTAAAAATCCATGAAACATGTAAATAGAAGCAAAGCAAATGAGTTGCTCAAGAAAAATGCTGAACTAGAGTCAGTTTGGTATAACTTTGTAATTCCCCTAAACAAGTATGAAATTCATAAAAGTCTTTCAAAACAATTATGATAGCCACTGTGACAAAGGTTTTCTCCCGCATCATTGAATATCAACTTTGAAACAGCTTTGAGCAAAATATTTATGGAATCTTCACACTTAGACATTGTCCATCCAGGTTGGTTTTTATGCTGCAGCAAATAAATCAGACATATAAAAGTTAAAACATTTTTGTTTTACAGCTGAACATTCTGGTTTCCTGAAACATGCTTCAAACAAATCACATGCAATTATTTCAACAAATGAGCTACATTTTTCCAGATTAAAAAGAAATAATTACAGAATCATACAACGTTGAGAAAGAATATCAAAATGAGTTCCTCTTCCTTGGTTTTTTATGATAATCTACATGTGCCATGGACTACATTAATAAAAAATGGTATTCTCCAGCAAGATGATTCTGACTTATTCAAATCAGCTTTGGAGAAAGGTGTATGTCAAAGCATTTGGTTTTTGAATTTCCATAAACTTTCATTCAGAGATCCAAACATTTTGGTTTCCTGAAGTAAAGTTCTCACACTTTTTACTGTGTAGCAAAATGTCTCTACACCCTAAGAAATGAATTCTTTATGAGTAAACTTATATATAAAACAGTGTACATTTAGAAATCAACAATGCATAGTGACTGGCTGTTTATATCTAGAAACACTATTTCCAATACTGAGCACTCTTTCCTCATAAATATAGCAAACTAGCAGTAGAGCCCGGCGTTGCCCGGGAATGTAACAGTAAGAGATAGATCAAGTATCAACCATCATAAAGACTGAAAAATAAAATTAACAAAGATTATTGTTTAAGGTTGACAGACACGCATGTCTTAATTAGTTTTTTTTTTTACGAATTGGTCAAACCCAAACTCAAACATTGTTTTCAATCGTTATGAGTCTACCGATTGAATAGAATTTTCATTTCATTCTCACAATGACTCTTAATCATGTTTTCAAATTGATTTCATACAAAAACAATTGTGTTTTTCCAATTTTTGGTGCTGTCAGAAACACCACAAGGTAATTTTACATAGTCCTGTGAAGTTTTGTTGAAATTGGTTGAAAAATGTAGGAAATCTGATCCAATATATAAACGTACAGGCACACACACACAACCTGGGTTTTATAATAAATATGATTATAGATATAATGTATATTTGGGCCGCAACTTTCCTTTTAAACATGTTTCATTGAATATGAGAGACAAGGAAAATTTGATTTATTTTTTATTTAATTTTTCAAAAGATTCTTACATGTTTTTTTGGAAGTTCAAAAATGATGCATATTGTCAATTGTTCCAACTGTTTCAGGCATTTTTTCAGCCATTTTCAAGGGAGTTTCTTTATAGGTGCTGTTAATTTCTTCTCATGTTAGATTGTCTAAGACATAGTTTTGTGCTGTTTTAATAATAGTAGTAGCATTTATTCAGCAATGGAAATGGTGTGTTGCTGACTTCTTAGGATAGAAATACTCCAACTCAGATACCAGCTGCAAAGCACAGAATAAACAGTACTATGTATTTTTTATATATATATATATATATATATATATATATATATATATATATATATATATAAAAGGCTCAAACACTAATATTCCATGGTTATAATTTATTACATTGGAATCGTAATCACAATCCAATTCATCAGACCAACAAATTCAAAAAGCTTTTTGAATTTGTTGGTCTGATGAATTGGATCATGATTACAATTCCAATGTAATAAATTATAACCATGGAATATATGTGATTGAGCCTTCTATATTGTATTTTTAGTCAGTGCCTGAAATCCATACTCTGGGTTGACCTAAGCCTTGTGAGCGAAATTGGGTAGATGGAACCTTTTGGGTGCTGTCGATAGCTATTCTAGCATCAAGTCACAAGACATCATTGCCGAGGGCTTGAGCATGCTGGCCTTGTTCAAATTGTTGAGAACACTAGATAACATGCTCTTTCCCAGAAACTGCAACTAAAGTCTGCTCAGCATAGTCACAATCAGTTCTTTGTACCACTCCAGGATGTACCTCCTACTGCTATGTTCTATCTTTGCAAGAGTCAGATCTGACTAAAAATAGAGTATAACTGCCATATCTGGGCTGGGGCTACCCACAGTCCCTCACTTTCCACCCTTGAAAGAGTTAAAAAATGATTATACAACCCCTTTGCCTGCAAGTAAAACATTGCTAGCCTCTTGCTACTCTAGAACAATTTCTATGACACATTCAGATGAAATACATTTCTTAGTGCCACCAGTTCAGATCTTTATGGCTAAGACCCACCATGCCACATACATGGTGACAACTCATACTAATCCTCTTTATATTCCTTATAAGTAGGTAGTAGCTTGGTTTGCTTTGGTTTGTTTTTGGCAATCAACCAATTCGGTCATTTTATCCCAAAATTTTATATTTTTCTAAATAAAATCTGGTATTTAAACAGTCAAAATGAAATTATTTTACATCCTAAGTTAGTTATGGGTATATTTTTAACTTTTAATTATATTTTTGAAACAGTTTCATTTCCTTTAGAAATATGAAAAATGAATCTGTATTTTGAAAAAGTTCTTTTAAGTTTGTTGTTTGCTAGTATTTTAAGAGGATTAAATTAAAATTGTTGCTCTTTGTCAGTATGTCTTATGGTGAATGGCTCTTGGCATGCTAAATACATAAGTAGGAAGTTCAACTCAAAAAGCTTCTGCAGAACTTTCACTGTGTAAAAAACTCCCTAACCACTAGAATCGTAACCACTTCAAGTGTAGGGGTTAATCATTATCCTCATAATATATGCACTCCTTCTTCCTCACTTCATGTCCTTACAACAATCTCATACAGTAAACCACCACCTTGAGTGGTTCTTGGACTTTTAATTGGAAGATATATATATATATATGAAATGCTATCAAAATTACTAAAGTACCACCTTGGAAAGTCAGTTAAAAGTTACAATACTATGAAGTTGTTAGAAATAAAAAAAATGAATGTTACTTACTTATTGAACAAAACTACATCAGGTGTCCATATATGCTCTGGTCTAATTCGGATACTACTGATATCCCCATAGTCTTTGACATCCCATTGTAACTGGTAATCATTCCAGTACTAAAAAAAAAAGATAAAAATTACAAATGGTGTCATGATTTTGTTATTGAATGTTTAAATGAAAAAACATGTTTAAATAACATTGACAAATAATTTGTTTAAAGCTAAGTTTTAAACATGAAAACAAAAAAAAAAACATGACAACATTACCAGAATCCAAAAACATAGCAACATTACTAGAATCTATAAATAAGGATCAATTCGCTTTTCCTGAAAGTATTTGTAATGATCGACAATGTTATTTTTTTAAGAAGTAAAAATTTAAAAAAAAGTGGGTTAACAATGTGGAAAATGGCAGAGATAAATTGAATATAAACTTGAACTGAGGTAGTTAGTGTTTACACTAATGCTGTTGGGAAAAGTATGAATTCTTGGCAAACACTCAGAATGTACCTTACTGGATGCAATGTATAAAATGTTATCTAAATGAAGCAAAAATGAAAATAACACTGACATTTCATTTTAACAGATATATTTACCAAAATTACACAAAAATATCTTGAAATATTAAAGAGTAAATTTATTCAACAAAACAGCCATTGGCTTTAACCTTGACCACCAGACGATTTCAGAATCTCCTGTAACTCTTCTGGACAGTTATCTTATTTAAGTTAGTGAATGCCTTCAGTTACAAGGAGTTTTGTTGCTCCCTCGCCCAACTGTGCACCACACATAATAATCAGGGCAGTTGCAGTCTGGGGAGTTAGGTGGCCAGATGTAAGGGATGATGTCATCACAGAAATTGTCTGACAGCCATGACTGGGTTCTCCTGCTTGTGCGGCATGGTACAGAATCCTGTTGCCAGACATACGGTCTTCCAGCAGCCACCCTCTGCACTGTCCTCAGATTAATGCCCAAACATTTGGAAATATTTGTATTGAATCTTCTAGTGTGGATGCCAAGAAGTTCAACATGCTGTTTTCAAATTTCTGGCAGAGGGAATTGTGTCACAGTGCTCTTTATCCCAGAGTTTCCAACTGACCCTACTATATTGTGCAGTCGATAAAATCAAAAGCAAACAAAGCGTATATGCAAAATTACAAATATAAAATGGTGATAATTTACCTATTGCACCATGTATATGCTCTGAAAGAGCACCTGTAATATGTAACCACTGCATTTGTAACAGCCCAGTGTATAGACAAGGTCACATATAAGTCTTATATTATTTCAACAATTAACATGCCTGTCAGCTAAAAAACTGTTAAAATTTGACTCCATGCAACTTCTGTTTTTTTCAAAATTAGACTCCCTATTGAAAATAAATCCTTCCAGATGAAATTAAACTAGAATCCCTATTGAAAGTAAAGTCCTCCAGATGAAATTAAAGAGAATGTAATGAGACAAATGTGATGGATTTCCTGAAAAGAAAGTCAAAGCAAACTGTTATGAAAAGCAAAAGTGATAATTAAATATATATGCTCCCAAGGGAAATACTTTGCAGTTGGGTAAGCCATAATTGCCCTCATTAGGCTATTTTTCTCGGCAAATGCCTGGATTCTTTACAAACATACATTTTCTAATTTGACAATGAATCTTTAAAGTAGTATCTTTCCAGAATTATTTTAAATATAACCTTTTTCTCAATTGTTGAATCTTGAATAAAAAACTGAAAATGCTTGAAAAGATTATATATACTTGTGTATAGTACAGGTGGAGATTGGGAAAGAGGCACTAAAACTTCATATCCTAAGTGCTTCAGCTATATAAAGGCATGGGACACATAAATATATACTTGTTTTTTTGTTTTCATCTTTGCTTTGAAGACAAAGAAAATATAGAAAAATAAAAAATACTTCATCTCCATTTTTTACACAATACAGGAAGGCTGAAAAATATATCAGCCAAAATATATTTTACTGAAAATAAATGAAAATTCTTTGATCTCAAATGAAATTTCAACATCATTGAGATTAGTTTTTTCAATTTTCAAAATCTCCCCTGATCTTCATAAATTCTGATTCACATGTTTTAGTCAATGTCTTCTATTTTTATGTTCATGCTTTCATAGAAGTACTTAACAGTACTTTCTTCTTCCAAATATACAAATGAATTGTAGTTTTGTAATCTATTGTGATTCTGTCACAATCTGCATCATCTTTTACCACTGAGCATCATTTTTATGCTTCATCAAAAGCTTATCTCTCTCTCAACATTTTTGTTAAGATAAAGCTTTCAACATTGTAAAGCAGCATACTTTCCACTGTGGATTGATAGAAAGTTATTTTCAGATGGTTTTTTTTGGGGGGGGGTATTTAGCACAACAGGCTTGTCCAATTCTGATTCCCTTGTTCCTTTCATTTTTTCCAAAACCCAATCACCAAGGTACTTGAAACTGTCTACTTGTTTCAGCTTATTGCATTCTAACATGATAATTTCATCCTTGGACTGATGACATAATCAGTTTTCTTGAAATTTCACATTTTGCCAAAACTTTTGCTATGAAAGATGAAAATTTCACTCTTATTTCTGAAAGTCTTTATCTAAAAATCTGCAACAAAATCAGAGAAAACAGTTGCAAAATCCTAGGAATTTAAATCAAAATTATTCTTTAGTAAATTTTGCCCTATGTTCTGTCACAGAGTCAAATAAATAAACAATGTAACATGAAAATATCAACTGGTAATGATTACAAATTAAGAGCCAGCACATTTTCTAGAAAATATCATTTTACACATCACACTTTGCCAGCCAAGTCTTCAAAAGATCAAATCTCATTATACCTTTAGTTCCTTCCTCAAAATCATTACTTTGATTATTACAACAATCATTTCAGTTTTTCTGCAAGTTCAGTTTGTTCATCCTGTGAAAATGTCAAGACCATTAGCACAATTTCTACAGGACTGATTCAGTTTGATAAAGGGAATTTGGATGCTTAAAACTTTCATTGTATTTAACTAAAAGAGCATCATCATTTATGATTGGGTCTGAAACAGATAAACACACAGGATAAAATCTACATTTTATCATTAATTTTTATGATTATTTCAGCATTGATGATATTACAACATAATTTCATTGAAAGATATTTGTTTCTCTTTTGTTTTTATATTTAATTTGCTACACAAATATGAAAAAAAACCATAAAAGAATTGTTGATTGATATTCTTAAGCATTGTTGGGCTACAATGTAGCATGGACAACTGTAAAGGAATAAGATGGCTGCTTGTTATAAAAGATTGTCACAACCATGATTGACACTCACAACCAGTTTCTCTCACACTTGGCTGACTAAGTTTCCAGAATTTCTCAACTGCAATTGTCTAATATGTCATGATTCTTGCAGATCACTGCAAAAGATCACAGCATGAGAAATAAAATCATCAAATAACTGAACTAAAATGATTTGGAATGAAGACTAAAAATTAATAACTGGTTGAAGGGGTCTTCTACCACACCAGGTGTGTTGCATGAATGGAAAAAAAAAAAAAAACGATGTGAAGATGCTGGATGAGTGGGGGTGGGTAGTTGATATGAAGAGTGAGTGTGAGGGATTAGGTGCCAGAACAAGTTCTTCACAAGCAGTTTCTTGTTTCCCAACAAGTGAAGAACAGAAGCCAGAGTAACATTAGTTGTTCAGGGAGTGAAGGTGTTGCATACCAAGAATTCCAAGCATGTCTCGACCACTGCAGCGGAGCAGCCAACAGAACCAACATAGCCATGCCACCCCCCCTACATATACACACAAAACTTCCCAAACCAACTTTTTCTTCCTAGTAATTACCTTCTATGTAGACTCAGCACTAGCAGAGCGTGAACATCATTAGTGTAGTTTTTTGTGATGAGAGGGGAGGATTAAAACTGATGATGGTAGAAAGAAGCAAGATATTTGGAGTGTCATCATGGCTGGGTGGGGTTAAGAAAAACCAATAGCAGGCTTCAGAACTATCTGATCTACCCTCAAACATTGCACACGCACAAAGGAATGGCATTTACAAGCAAGAGCAGCAAGCAACGACTGGGGAGATGCAATGTATGATGCTGGGCCACACCTTAGTAAGCAGGAAATAGAAGGAATATTTCCAATCTGTAAGAAGCGAGTACAGCAGACTACTAGTTACTAAAAAGAAGAAGAAGGTAGGATAGAAAAAAAAAAAAAGGATATAATGAAAGGAAGAAATAGAAGAGAAAGAGAGAGAACCGAGAAGGAAGAGAAATAAGCCAAGAATGAGAGAGAACCGAGAAGGAAGAGAAATAAGCCAAGAATGAGAGAGAACCGAGAAGGAAGAGAAATAAGCCAAGAATGAGAGAGAACCGAGAAGGAAGAGAAATAAGCCAAGAATGAGAGAGAACCGAGAAGGAAGAGAAATAAGCCAAGAATGAGAGAGAACCGAGAAGGAAGAGAAATAAGCCAAGAATGAGAGAGAACCGAGAAGGAAGAGAAATAAGCCAAGAATGAGAGAGAACCGAGAAGGAAGAGAAATAAGCCAAGAATGAGAGAGAACCGAGAAGGAAGAGAAATAAGCCAAGAATGAGAGAGAACCGAAGGAAGAGAAATAAGCCAAGAATGAGAGAGAACCGAGAATGAAGAAATAAGCCAAGAATGAGAGAGAACCGAGAAGGAAGAAATAAGCCAAGAATGAGAGAGAACCGAGAAGGAAGAGAAATAAGCCAAGAATGAGAGAGAACCGAGAAGGAAGAGAAATAAGCCAAGAATGAGAGAGAACCAAGAAGGAAGAGAAATAAGCCAAGAATGAGAGAGAGATGGCAAAGAAAGTGAAATAAACAAAGAAAAGGAAGCTCAAAAAAAAAATTGAAAAAGTAAAAAGAAACAGAGAAAAAAAAAATAAGAAAGAAAAAAGGAGTTAACAAAATCAAATTCATTCATTTATTCTGTTAATATAGGCTTTTAATTAATTTTTCATTTTCTTTTTTTGAAATGTTTACATATAAATAGTTTCCACTAATCCATATATTTTTTGTGCCTTTTAGATTTATTGCATATGGGCCAATGCATTCTTCAGCCTCTCTGAGAGAAAATCAGAAAGATAAAGATGACATCATAATTGCAGACAAGATTCACGATCAAACAATCCAAATTCAACAAGATTTAGCAGAAAATTAAAAAGAAATAAAAGATTTTACATTCTTTAATAAGTTATATATTAGATAATTTTTATTTGTTGATTTTTGGTGGACACTAAATTTTAATCTGCTGCCAATGCAGAGTGTAG